GAGTATTACAATTTTAATAGTTTTTTTCCTTTCTTAAAATGTGTATACAGGGTCGGCCAAGTGGCTCAGTTGGTTAAGAGCTCGCTCAAGAATGCGAGCTCTGAGCAACAGCAGTTCGAGTCCCGGCCCGAGCTGAGCTGCCGCTGAGCTGCCAACAGGTGCGTTGGCAGGATGGCTCAGCTAAAAAAAAAAAAAGTGTATACATTTTTTTGGCACCCTCTGTAGATTTACACATAAACATACACACCCACCTAAACAGACAGTAAAGGAAAGTGGACATAAGTCTGCTGAGCACAGTTGTTAGATGGACTATTGTGTTGGGTACCGAGCATCCTGGAAGCCAGGGAACGGAGGTAGCCATAGAGAGAAGAGGAAAAGCCGGTGTGGGCTGTACGGGGAGAGTTGAGCAGACCTACCTGGCTGCAAACCCAGACAGCCTTGGGCAAATCCCTGTTTCTCAACTTCTCTCTCTGAAAAAATAGGGGGAAGACTACCACACGGGGAAGGCCGTGCTCACACCGTATGTACAGTACACAAACAATTACACGTTTTTCTTCCCCACCCGTCTTCTCATTATCAAAGGAGGAGGCACCCAGTTTCCGGTGGAGGAGGCAAAGTGTCCCTGGCCCTAAAATCTATAAGAAACTTTTCATACGAGACTCTGTAAGAAGCCTTGAGCAGAGGGGGCCAAGGCCCCAGGTTTTAGAGCCACCCAGGCGAGGATTTGCCATGGCTCTGTTAGACAACATCCCCAGGTACCCAGGAAACGCTTAATTAACACCCACAGAATGAGGAGAAGCAGTGCAGACACTTAGCAGCATCTGTGTCAGGTGGCAGGGGGTCCTGTTAAGCGGGTTTCGGGGTGGCTGTCTGCAAGGGGATTGATCTCATGGAAGCAAGGCCGAGACGCGCAGTGCAAACATGTGACTGCTCACTTTGGGCTGAGCGCTGCTCCGGCCCATGACTAAGGAAGCAGGCATGAGATCCTGTCCTTTCCTCACAGGACCCATGGCCCCCGGCGTCTTTTCCAAAAGCAGCAAAGCATGATCTTGAAGCACCAGATGCTTCCTCTTGTAATCTCTACAAATTACTGCACATTCTCCATGACTGGCTCTCCTCCGAGGCCAAGCTGGAAGGGCTTTAGCCAGATGGGATGTTAGGAGAACATCAGCCTGGTGTTAAAATAGGCGTCTAGATAGGAAGGAAACAGCTGTCAAGGTGGGACAAGGAGACCTCTGAGCGCCCATCTGGACTGACCCTCCCATCATTTATCCAACAGACATTTCCCTGAGCGCCTACCATGTGCCAGGCACCGGGGTACAGAGAAATGTGATTCAGCACTGCCTCCCCCCCACCCCCATCAGGAGCCCAGCCTGATGGGGAGGCCCCTGTAAACAGATAACTGTGTGCAAAGTTAGATTAGGGGCACAAAGGTAGCGTGACGGACTCTACCTGGGAGGCCAGCGAAGGCAAGCCTGGGCCTCAGTAATGAAGAGCTGATAAAGGAGAGAAGGCAGGGCCCCGACCCTGAGGGCCTCCTACAGGCAGAGGAATTTTCTTTCAGGTTCCATAAGGACGAACCAAGACCACCAGAAAGCAAGTGACTTGGTTTAGTTGGTACAGACCTTATGGGCCTGGAACCTTGACCCCTGCAGTCCAGCTCTCCACCTTCCTGCCTCCCACGCAGAGCGAGTGGGGAAGGCCACAGAAAGAAGGCCCATTCCACACTCACGAGGCCCAGAGCCTGTGCCGGCGTCACCGCAGAGCATGTACTGTCCTTACAATTTGGCAAGTCACTCCCTATGAGAAAAACAGCCGTTCCTAACTCATTGTGTTTCTCTCTGCAAAGGGCGAGGATTGGGACTCTCTTCCAATCACAGCATACAGTCTCTTAAGGGAAGAATAATTTAACAGCGACAGCCAAGGTGTCACATCAACTAGAGTCCTGGGGGGCGGGGGCACGCCAGGGAGGGGCTTCTACTCCATCCAGACGCTGACTCGGCAGGGTGCTGGCCCAGGGCAGGGGACCGGGAATGAATGAAACCTCCGGCCTCCAGGAGTTCACAGTCCAGCAAGGGAAATGAGCCAGACACCAAAGTAACTATAAAAAGGCCAGCGGTGATAAGAGACACAAGGGACACAGATAGGGTGCGATGGGAGTTCAGAGCAGAGATCAGTTGCGCTGGAGACTTGGGAGGTACGGAAAATTCAGACGAAGGGGAACATTAACCCCCTTACCCCCTCTCCCCTCGCCCCCGGACCCGGGGTTCTGTCCTATCAGCTCCACTGACTCCCGGGTGGGGGTGGGGAGAGAGCTGGCCGTGGATCAAGAAAGATGCTCAAAAGAGGTCTCCTCTGAAGAGCCCTGAGGGCAGGAGGGGGCAGGCCTGAAACGGGAGAGCCGCCCGGCCCCCACTGCGGACGCAGGGAGAGGGGTGTAGGGTGAGGGAGTCTAGAATGTCTATGCAGGAGCAGCCAAGCGGTTGGAAGGGGACAGAGCTAGAGGATTTGCCTGGATAGGACGTTTGCGTAGCCAGCACACTGTTTACTTGGCATGTCCATGTGGGGTTCGGGGTGGGGGAGGTTAGTGCACTTTATGGGGGGAAGGGGGGACACTAAAGTTTCCCTCTCCCCAAGTCACTCCCGAGCCCTGACCCCAGGTAAGAAAGGGTGAGGGGTGGGTGGACGGTGGGAGAGGATGCGGCCCGCCCTAAGGCACCTCAGGTTACAACCGGAAAGGGAGACTCAGGATGGAGATGGGCCAGATTTTCCTCCAGTCAAGGGGGACACCTGGGGCACCTTAGCTAAGTGCTGGCCCCCTCTCGGAGGGCCACACCCATGCGTGGGCCCCGGACACCCACCCAGCCACGCCAGGGCTGGAAGGATGTCCCGCCTGAGGCGCGCAGCGGCGGGAGGCTGGACAGAGGCTTCGCCCACCAGTCCCCCCCCCCC